AACAGCAGCATCCTTCTTCACCAGGGCATCCATATGGTGGCTGCGCCGACTCCAGAATAGATTGCCTGCTTCTGACTTTTGGTCTCACCAAGACCTTAATAAGATTATCGCAGCGGTGGAATTCACTGCAGATGCCACTCTCAATCCACCAAAATTTGCATCCAAGGCCATGGCATCTTCAGTAGCAGCAAGAAAACTGTTATGGTTCAGAAATTGGCAGGCGGAGTCACGCCGAAAATGGAAGCTGGCTTCAGTTCCATTCGCAGGTGATAAGCTTTTTGGCGAGGCTCTGGAACCTTATCTCATCGAAACCAGAGATAAACATAAAATTTTCTCTTCCTCTGGAAGAAAGCCGATTATCGCCCAGCTCCTTATCGCCCAGCTCCTTATCGCCCTCCTGCTTTTTGAGCAGAGACCTCATCTCGCTTCCCCCGCTCTTAGAGGCCATACTCCCAACGCCAAGACCACCGTGTGGAAGCATTTGGCAGGCAACAACCTTCTACTGGTAAACAGCCCTTTCGGGGGGAGGGGGTTGTTCCTTCCGTCGCTCTAAGTAATCCCTTGTTCTCCCCACCCATCGGAGGTCACCTAGCCTTCTTTGCCTCCAAATGGGAGGAGTCAACGACGGACTCCTGGGTGCTCAGCACTATTAGGTCAGGGTTGCAATCGGACTTCCTAACGCCACCCCCAGAGAAATTTTTGATCTGTCCTGTCTCTCGGGATACGTCAAGGCAAGCCCTCATGAATCAGGCCATTCAACACCTTCTTGAAATCAGAGCTATTCAACCTGTTCCCCCCTCTCAACGGGGACATGGGCTTTACTCTCGCCTTTTCATCATTACCAAAGCCTCGGGGGGGGGGGGGATGGCAAGCCATCCTTGATCTAAAATTTCTCAACCAATTTGTAAAATACAGGTGATTTAAAATGCAGACTCTGCATTCTATGTTAAGGGAGCGTTTGGAAGGGCGATCTCCTTTCTTCCATTGATCTCACGGAGGCTCTCCTCCACATCCCCATTTGG